CAAAAAAAATAGAGTATTTGCGATGGTACAGATTGTTGTCGCAAAAAAATAGAGTTTTTGCGACGGTACCAAGTGCAGTCGCAAAAAAAAAATTGCGATTGTAATACGTACCGTTGCAAAAAATTAAAAAATAAAATAATATATATATATATATTGTGGCTTTAAGACGACTTCATATATATATAGTCATAAAATGGTTTAAATAAATGCAACAGTATTTTTCTATTACAAAAAAAATTAAAAAAAACGTCGTACGTCGTCTTACTCTTTTGAACATTTCTCTTTTCACCCATTTTTTCATCTTTCTATCTCTCTGTCTCTGTCTCTCTTCTCTCTCTCTCTCACACACTCATCACTCTTCTTTGTCTGTCTGTCTCTTTATTTCTCTCTATGTCTCTGTCTCTGTCTCTCTTCTCTTTCTCTCTCTCACTCATCACTCTTCTCTGTCTGTTTGTCTGTCTCTTTCTCTCTTTCTCTCTGTGTCTCTCGTCCATCTTTCTTCTCTTTATCTCTCTCATCTATCTTCTCTCTCTCTTTTCTTTATCTCTCTCGCTCTCTCGCTCATCTCTCTCTGTCTCTTTCTCGTTTATCTCTTTTCGCTCTTTTCTCTCTCTCTCTCTCTCTTTGTCTATATCTTTTCATCCATTTTTTCATCTCCATCTCTCTCTTCTCTTTCTCTCTCTTACTCATCACTCTTCTCTCTCTGTCTGTCTATCTATTTGTCTCTATCTCTCTCTGTGTCTCTCACTCATCTATCTCTTCTCTCATCTCTTTTCTCTCTCTGTCTCTTCATTCATCTCTTTTCTCTTTATCTCTCTCTCTCATCTCTCTTCTCTGTATCTCTCTCATCTCTTATCTTTCTCTGTCTCTCTCGCTCATCTATTTTCTCTCTATCTTTCTCTTTATCTCTCTCGTTCATCTCTCTTCTCTTTATGTCTCTCTCACTCATCTCTCTTCTCTCTATCTCTCTCTTCTCTCTCTGTCTCTTTTCTGTTTCTTACTCTCTATCTCTTTCTCTTTCTCTCTTTCTCTCTCTCTCTCTCCTACTATGTTTGCGTTGTTCACTCTCTCCCTCCCGTCTTCTCTATTTACTAAGCTCCCTCTCGATTTATCGATCCATTATACGAAAATACACTTTTAGCGACCACTTTGTCTCTCTCTCGTTCATCACTCTGTCTTTCTTTTTTTTTTTCTCTCTCTCTCTCTCTCTCTCTCTATCTTCTCTATCTGTCTCACACTCATCTCTCTCTCTCACCACCCATCTCCTCTACCACCTTCACCACTACTGCAAACGCCATTCCACCACCACCACTACTTTCACTGTCGCCACTTCACCTCTACGACTACCATGACTACTACCATCGCCACCACTCCACTACCACTACCATTACCACTACCACCACCACCACTGCTACCACTATTACTACTACTACTACTACTATTACCTCTCATCCACCGCCGCCACTCCATCTCCCATACCACTACCACAACTTCATCACTAATCTCCTTCGCCATCACCACCACCACCACCACCACCACCACCACCACCTCTTATCCACCACCTTCACCACTACTGCCGCTCCCTCTCCTGTACTACAAAAAAATTGTTTGGTTATGGTTTTTTAATAGAGTGTTGAATTGAGTTTTGAATTGTATGTAGAATTGAGTTTTGAAAGTTTGATGTAACATGTGAAATAAGAAAATTTGTTTGGTGATGAGTTTTCAAAATAGTTTTCAGAACTTAATTCAACCTATAATTGATAATCAAACACACAACTCATAACTGGATATCCGTATTTTTTATCAACAGTCATAACCAAACTATTTTTAAAATACCCAAATAAAAAAAATGTTTTTTTTTCAATTAATTGTTTTTAAGTAATTTTTTTTGAATATTTTTTTTTTCAAATCATTTTTTTTTTTCAAACAACTTCTATGTCAATTATTTTCTGTCAATTAATTTTTTTGTCAATTAATTTTTTAGGCTTGTATAAACATTAAAATATTAAAAATATTTTGAAAATCTAAACCAAACAAAACCTTAATTTCCCCCATTTTTTCCCCGTCTTTCCCCCTTTTTTTTTCATTTCCTTTCAGGTTTGTAGAGCCCTACGGAGCCCTAAGTTTCAAAACAACACTGTCTCTATCTCTCTCTCTCTCTCTCACGGAGGCGAGCGATGAGCGACGATCGGCGATCTCACTACTTTTCTGTTCTTGGGTTTGATCTTTAGTCCTTATATAAATTCCTTTAATCCTTTTTCACTGTTCTGTAGCTGATCTCACTACTTCACTGTTCTTGGGTTTGATCTAATATCTGGTGTTGTTAAATTAAAGGTTATTAACTCCTCCTGACACCCCTCTCTTCCCTTCTCTGGATGATGAGACGCCTCCGGTTACACTTGCTCAGAGGGAAAGACCTCAAAGTCAACCCATCACAATCTCAAGATCATCCACGGTAGGTCATTGTTCATGTCAATGGGATGAATATTCATCGTTTATTTACTTGTATCTGTCAATGGTGTCTACTGCTCATGTTTTTCTTTAACATTTTTTATACCATAATGCATCTAATGTGTATCTTATTGTAGATGGAGAAGAATCGCAAAAGTAGTAGAGGTAGTTCGAGCCCAAATCGCTTAAGCCCTTCTCCACGGTCTGGGAATAGTATTTTCCATACGAGGGAAAGCCCATCTTTAGGAGTCAAGAGCCTCTCCTTGTAGGCCCGTCCTTGCGTTCGTCCTTGCAGGCCTTCGGGTCTACTTTTAGGCCCAATTTTGATAATCTGAACCGTTCATATTTTATGATTTATTCAGTATATCATACCTGTAAAAAATCAAGTTGATCGGATATCAGAAAGCATGTGTTCGAAAAATTGAACTAAAAACTATTTTTTAAAGAATTTAATAAACAGTTTTCCGAACACATGCTTTCTGATATCCGATCAACTTGATTTTTTACAGGTATGATATAATGAATAAATCATAAAATATGAGCGGTTCGGATTATCAAAATTGGGCCTAAAAGTAGACCTAAAGGCCTGCAAGGACGGGCGCAAGGACGGGGACTGCAAGGAGAGGATCCTCATTCCATCTTTAGTAGCTCATTCTAGTCCAACTCCTAGTGTTTGCCATGCTACCCCATCACAGAGACCATCTCCCCCACCAAATAAACCATCAACACCTGCTCCAAGGTCTTCAACACCGACTCCTCGGAGGATAAGTACGGGGTCTGGTGGTACTGTAATTTCATCTGGGGTAAGGGGTACCTCCCCTGTAAATAAAAGTCGAGGAAACTCGGCATCACCAAAAATAAGGGCATGGCAAACAAATATTCCTAGTTTTTCCTTGGATGCACCTCCTAATCTACGTACTTCAATGGCTGATCGACCAGCATCATATGTGAGGGGTTCCTCACCTGCATCCCAAAATGGTAGGGATTCGTCTTCCAGAGGCAGACAGTCAATGTCTCCAACTGCTTCTAGAAGTGTCAGTTCATCACATAGTCATGATCGGGACCGATTTAGCTCCAAGAGTAAAGGTTCTGTTGCATCATCTGGTGATGATGATGTAGACTCCCTATAATCTATTCCTGTGAGTAGCTCAGACTGCTCAGCATCAAGGAGAGTTGGTGCATTTCCAAGTAGCAGTGCTCCAGCCTTTTCCAAGAAGCCCACTCGAACAGGGCTATCAAGTTCTGCTCCAAAAAGATCTTTTGACTCTGCACTTCGACAGATGGTACTTATTTATCTGTTTCTTTTGGACTGTGATGATGTTTTCTTTGTGACTAGGTTTATGCATGTGAGCATCAACAAATCTGCAAACGATTAGAAAACCTCATTCAATACGTCTAAATTTCATATAAAAAGTTTTATACATGTTCAATGATCTGAATGTTAGAGAAAATTTAGACATCAAAATAAAATAAAAAATAGAGGGAGAAAATTTAGGAAACATTTTGATGTTGAATATAGATTTAATGGTTTAATTAGTATTTTTCATAGCATTCCAAGGTAGAATTCATTGAATGGAGTTGTTAGAGAAGGGAACTTTCTCGTTGACAAGGTTAAATAATATTCAGTTTGGTAGTTCTAAGGCAAGCTAAAGGTGATTGCGTACCAAGTGATATTGTAGTATGCATTTAACCAAATTGCCCATTTTAGTTAATGAATTTGTACCTAAAAAAGCCATAAAAATTGCAATTTTGTACTTCAAAATTAAGGCACATCCTATGTTGCATGGACTCGTGTATGAGCATCAAGTGTGCGTGCGTGTCCAGGCGTTAAATCTCCCTAAGCTCTTAATGTTAGTATATAGGGATATGTATTCAAAAGTTCGATATAAGTTCATGGACATGTCTTGAGCATTTTGTGATTGTATAATATTTTGAGATAAGATGTAACTATGTAGGCATGTACTTGATATTAAATAGGATTTAGGGAAAACCAAAATTTTATATCTCATCCAGATGAGAGGTTTATTTACTCTCAAATGTGAGGTTTTTCAAATATTATTCAAAATAAGAGGATTCAAAGTGTCTAATTTGGCTACGGGAGTCGGACACGTCCTATGCCGTTACCTTTTTCATATCTAGTGGGCACGGCTATAATGGCGATTAAGAATCCATGTAACATTGGGCACATCCAAGCACTCAAGATTTATAATCCCTCTTGAGCAATTTATAAATTAAGTCAGAACTTCCAACAATTTCAAATTTGACCCTCTAAACTGATAATGATATAACAATATTATTATCATCTTGGAACCGCATCACATCTCAGTGCCGACAACACTGGTTCTTTCTTTGAACTGGAGGAGTACTGCTTCACTATATATTTATATGTTCTTCATGTTGATCATGTTGAATATTTTTGTAAACTTCTCTTAAAACCTTACAGACTAGTAGATTTTCAAATCATATCTGAATTTATGGGGTTGGTGAAATCAGATCTTCGGACATTTAACTATTTTACTGTTGCGATATTGTTGTCCATTGCGAGAGTTCGGAAGTTCAGTGAGTGTTCAATCGGAATTTTGAAGACAACAATAACTACATCATACCGTGATTACAGTTTTTCCAAGTAAGGGTTGAAGGGTATTAAGTTCTATCTCATGTTTAAAGTTAATATAGTACAGTGGTAGTAATGTTGTATCCCAAGTTCAAATGGGTTTTTGTGGTGCTAATATGCTCCATGGAAATTAAAGCTATCCAATTTGTTAAAATATGATTTCAGTGGAATTTAATTTGAAATTCCAGACTTTGTTGAGTTGAGCTAAATCAGGTTTGTGGGATTTTTAATTGAGTTCATCACGGCATGGATGGTAATCAAATGTAGTTATCTTGTATTCCAGGAAGCATGTTTAATTGGGTTAGTTTTGTAGGATTTAATTTCATGTACTAGTGTCCAATTAGTTTGAATTGTTATGATATCATTGCCATATTAATGTAGTGACTTTTATTTCAAACATTTGATGTTTGTCATCTGTTGCGGGATTGGTGTTTAGGTGTATGATTTTGTGACTTAGAGAACTATCGGTGTGTCTTGATAATTTAGACTAATGATGGTTTCAAGGGATGCACATTTTAGTTTTAAATTTTTTGTTTTCGTCTAGTTTTAATATAATCCTTATTTTTCAGGGTTTGTAATTGGCTACCGGATGACTTGAAGGAAGAATATCTGCATAGTGTGAAAGTAGTGGAGAAGGTGGTGTTGAGAGCTGTAATTTTCCCTTGTCTTTCCATTCTGTTCATTTGAAATCATCTGTGCCATGGCAGACATGAAGATGTGAATAAGATATATGTGCTTATTGCTAAACTTTAGTGAGATGATGCTAGTGATGATCTTTCTTCTGTTAGTTTTATATTACTGCTTAGTTAGTCTTTCTTGTACAATGTATGACAGCAAAAAGAAAAAAATGGAAGATCATTTTCATATTTTTAATTATGGATGAATTTTTATTTATATACTGGACTTTTTATATTATTATGTAATTATCGATTTTTTTTTTAGTTATTTTTCATTTAATACCGGTCATTTTCAATTTTTTATTTTATTACAGGGTTTTTTTTTTTTTTGAGATGGCACCACACACACCGTCTCAAAAAGAAAAAGAAAAATAGAACCAGGGGTTTTTACGACAGTAATAATGCTGTTACAAAAGATAGGGAAATTGGTTAAAAATGAAGACCTTTAGCGACGGTGTTATTTGCCGTCGCCAATAGTACTTTAGCGACGGCATCAGGTGCTGTCTCAAATAACCCTTTAGCGATGGTGTTTTTGCCGTCGCAAATAACCCTTTTAGCGACGGCAACACAGTGCCGTCTCAAAAAATCTCAGATTTTCACGCATTAATACCGACATCATTTTTCCGTCGCAAAAAGGCATTTTTGCCGTCGCAAAAAAAAGGTGACGGCGTTATATCGTCGCTAAAACCCTTTTGCAACCCCCTTTGTTGCGACCCCTCACTTGCTGTTGCAAAAAGCCACTTGCCGTCGCAAAAAACTTTTTGAGACGGCGTTTTGGATATTTGCGACGGCATTTTATCGTCGCAAAAAAGCAATTTTTTTATAGTGTTGGTTATTATGATCGCAACCAATTACTTAATGTTACAATTTTTTTATTTTTTTATTTTAAATCAAGTACTAGTATGTATTTGTACTAGTATTTTTTTTTATTTTTAAATCAAGTACTAGTATGTATTTGTACTAGTCTCTCAAGTAGGGGAGCTTCTATCTACACATACCAAATCCCCTCTATACACACACTTAATGATATTTAATTTTATTACAATTTTATTCCTAAGTGAAATTACTATTTTAGACATCATACCCAATTCAAAACGTCTCAATGCACACATCCATCCAGACTTCACATCTGTTGAAGCTCCAAGTTTGTAGCTTCTTCCATTGAGCTAGAAGTGAAAGCACTCATTCACTCATTCGTAGCTTCTTCCAAGTTCGTAGCTTCTTCCATTAAGCTCTAAGTTCGTAGCTTCTCAATGCACTCATTCATCATACATCAAGCTAGAAGGGAAAGCATCAACCTTCCTTATTCGTAGCTTCTTCCTCATTCATCATTGTTATGGAGGATTTGTCTTCTGAAAATTAGCAAATAAATGTTTATGAGAAACATAGCGAAGGAAATGTGAGTTTCTCTTCTTCTTCTTTTTTTCCAGCGTCGTTCGGATAACCAGAGTCGAATTATATTATTTTGTTCGGAAATCTACTACCGAAAAAAGTATTTAATTTCAGAAGTTGTAGTATGAAATAAGTTAACTTTTACAACATTCAACTTCCAAAATTTTAAAATGAATTTGGACAACTACTTCCGAATGAAGTAAAAAAAAAAATTTCCCATTTTATATTCCAAATTTGCAAACTGCATACCAAATTTACAGTTTCGAATTGCAAATTAATCTTTATAATGCCATTAAAAATTTGTAATGTTGTATGAAACATGTAGGAATATGTGTCAACTCAAGGAAGTTAGGTTTGCACGGATTTTGTGTTGGATTACACTACTCAATTCACAACTGAACAAGTTCACTCTACGAAATTATAATGATTATGTTTCGAATTGCTCAACAAATGTAAATGTTTGATAATATTTATTTGACTTTGTAGGTATTCAAAAGTAAGGATGAATTGCTCAACTGGGTATGTGAAGTTGGAAAGAGAAATGGTTTGGTCATTGTAATCAAAACATCAGACTGTGGTGGAGGGAAAAAAAGACCCAGGATGTATCTTGCTTGTGAGAGGAGTGGCCAATATAGAGCGACAAAGAAGTTAAAACATGATGGCAACAATACATCAAGAATAACCGGTATGAAGAAGTGTGGTTGTCCTTTTGATATGAGGGCTCACAGGTTTACCACACATGATGAATGGACATTGACCGTAGTATGCGGATTGCATAACCATCCACCTGCGGAGCACCTTGAGGGACATTCATATGTGGGGAGGCTATCAAAGGATGAGAAAGCATTGTTAATGGATATGTCAAAGAGCATGGTTCGGCCAAAAGAAATCCTAGTAACCTTGAAACAGCGAGATGCCCTCAATGTAAGCACACTTAAAACCATTTACAATGTACGCCATCGAAAAAAGGTGGTACAGAGAGCTGGAAGATCACAGATGCAACACTTATTTGGTGAATTGGCCAAGTATGATTACATTGAGTGCCATCGGTCTGAAGAGTCCACGATGACTGTGACAGACTTGTTTTGGGCACATCCTACCAGTTTGGACTTATTTCGATATTTCCCACGTATATTAATTATGGATTGCACATATAAAACCAACAGATATCGTCTTCCTCTTCTTGAAATTGTGGGAGTGACATCAACTGAAATGACTTTCTCTGTAGCTTTCGCATACTTACAGTATGAGAGGGTCGATAACTATGTGTGGGTGTTAGCTACATTGCGTGATGTCATGGATGGTTTTGTTATGCCAACAATTATTGTTACTGACAGAGAGCTAGCCTTGATGAATGCCATACAGAAGATATTCCCGAGTGGCAGGCATTTATTATGTCGTTGGCATATCAGTAAGAATGTATTGACCAAATGCAAGAAAATGTTTGAGACACAGCAGAAATGGGAGAAGTTCAAGCATGAGTGGAACTCTTTAGTGTATTCATCTTCTGAAATTCAATACGATGAGCGTCTTAAATCACTACTTAAGGAATTCAGTAGTTATCCTGATGCAGTCAAATACGTCATGGATACTTGGTTAGTTCCTTACAAGGAGAAATTTGTGGCGGCATGGACAGACATGTGTATGCATTGTGGCAATGTTACAACGAACTGGAAAGATTACTTTTGTTCAATATGTTATGAATAAATGCCATGTAGTTGATTTTAATTTGACTTACATTGAATTAAACAGGGCTGAGAGTGCACATATAAAACTTAAAAGACAATTGGGTTCATGTCAAGTCTCATTTCAGGCATCATTTGAGAAAATACACAGTCTGCTTGAGTTGCAACACACTGATATCAAGGCTTCATTTGAGAAAAGTCTAACTATTGTGCAACATCAATTTAAACCTTCTCAATTCAGTGAGCAACGGGGTAATGTGTCTATCTCTGCATTGGAGTATTTGCTTGTAGAGAGTAAGAGAGCCAATTCCATTGGTATTGATATTGAAGCTTATGGATGCATCCTTCGCCACACTCATGGTTTACCTTGTGCGCATAAGATTGCTGACTACATCAGACAAGATCGTCCTATACCACTTGCTACCATACACTCACAATGGAGGCAACTTCATAACTTCATATGCAAGAAAGAAGAGGAAACGGAGGTGAGTTGTCATGCAGAAGTAGAGTTGTTTGTGAACAAGTTTAATGAAAGTGATAGAACCATGCAGTTGGAGCTTTTGAAGAAGTTGAAAAAGATTGTATATCCAGGAAACACTTTTCTTGTTGAGCCGGTGGTGAAGCCCAAAACACGTCCTCGGGATCATAAGAAGATCAATGTTTCTACCCGTTGTGACCCGTGTTCATTTGAGTTGTCTACTGACCCCCATGGCCATGCAAGGATCTTTGAAGAGTGATTATGACACTTTAGGGGCCCTTGTTCCTATAACACAAATAATATCTCATTAGAAACTACCATACAACACACAGGAAAAAAAAAAAAATTCATATACAAATGAATTTCACTTCTACTCAGGAATGTTTACCTCCCGTGCCAAACAGCTGCAGCGACATGACTATTGAAACTCCGCAGTATTGATGGATCAGTCGGTCCACTTGGAAAAGCATGAGTAAGGTCCTCTTCCTGGACAGTAGGAGAATCAGGTAAAGAGGCATCCTCCACAGCAATGTCAGGCATATCATAACCTTGAACTTGTCTTTGGCTTCGGCTCCGACTTTGACTGGCACTGGGGATATCATATTCTACCAAAACTAGATCACGACCTCGACCACGACCACGACCTTGACCTCGTCCTCGTCCACGTCCTTGTCCCCATTCATGGTCTACATCCAATTCACAACGTCGTCTATTTGAAGCAGTAGATGGGACACGTTGTTGACATTCAGAATCCATATTATCTACAAAAAATAATATGTTTAATGACTATACAATTGAAACAAGGGAGCTTCTATTTGCACACACCCATTCTCCTCTTTATACATCTTTTTCAATAAATAATTGGTTCGGAAGTAGAATTCCGAAAATAAACAATTGGTTCGGAAGTAGCATTTCAAAAATAAACAACTTGTTTGTAACTAGAGTTCAGAATTTTTTTTATTTTTTTGACATTCAACTTCCAAATGTGTTTATTTAATGTCTATAATAGTAATTTCACTTGAAAATAAAATTATAATAAAAATAATTTTTATTAAGTGTGTGTAAAGAGGGGAATGGAGACATGGAAATAGAAGCTCTGTAATAACCCCGACCTCCGATTAATGCTAAACCATGATTATTTATGCCTAACAGTAATTTAGAAGAAATCCGGAATTAAATTGCATATGTATTGCATTATCTTTGTGTTTTTATCTGTTTGCCATAAAATGATCTGTTCATGTTTTGACTTTGAACTGCGAATTGAAAGCCTTATCGGCGACTGATTCAGAAATTAATTAGTGTGTTATACTAGTTAGATTTTATGTGATTTTATGGTAGGCTTAATTAAAATTCGATTTGGAATGTGTAAATTAGATTAAATAATGTTGAATTGCATTAGTTTGCCTAATTACACAAATGCCACTTAGTGGCTTGATTGAGACCAACCTATTACACTTAGAAGCATCTCTCCTCAGCCATTTTTTTCCCCTGACCAAACCGACTAGAGAGAGAGGGAGCTAGGAGAAAATAGAGTTCATCAAGAATTGCTTGGAACTTAGGAGAATTGAAGAGGCTTTGCAAATTTGAGCTCTTAGACTTGGAATTCAAGGTTTAAGGTAGGAGATTCCCCTTTCAATTGTGAATTTAAGATTAATTCTTGCATGGTTCATGGAAGATTAGAGTTTAAAGTCATGGCTTAAAATGTTGAATTGAAGTCTATATCATGCATGCATGTTTACATTCTTGAATTGTGAGGTTGTTCTCATAGAATCCTCACATGCATGTCCATATTTTGTTATAGTCCATGAATTCATCCTATTCTTGAGCTTAATCTTACATTTGGTCATGTTTTTGAGCATTGGATTTAAAATGAACACTTGCATGTTAAGCTCTTGTTTTGTTTTTGAAGTTCTACTTGTAATTGTGTTTAATTGACTCACCCTTGGGCTTTGATTTTACAAATTGATCTTTGAAACATCTTATACTATGAGTTTACAGGTGTTTTCTATAAAATGGGCCCAATAGGTCGAGTTTTGAGGTGTTGAAAGCTTGGTTTGAGCTTGGGAGGCAAATCTAGAAATTTCAGAATTTGGCTTCCTTGCTCGAGCGAAGGATTCCACGCTCGAGCGACCATCGTTTGCTCAGAAATTCGCTCGAGCGAAGGAATGGTGGCTTAAGCGTAAATTACAAGCTCTCAGGTTTTTGGTGCACGCAGACGCACGCTCGAGCGATGAGACCTACGCTCGAGCGAAGAATTGTGTCTCACGCTCGAGCGAGCATCGAGCGCAAAATTTCAACAACCAGTACTTTTGCATTTTTACAGACCGCTCGAGCGATGGAGTCTACGCTCGAGCGACCCCTCTGTTTTGACAAGCTCACTCGAGCGAAGGAAGCCACGCTTGAGCGAGACCCTTGTTTTCAGCAAGTTTTGAAAAAAATTTTCCAAGGCATCTTTGCATCCTCATTCCATCCTAGGTATTCCTAGGCCATATTTAAGACTCTATAGTGAGGGTTTAAGGTTAGAAACACACTAAGAACCAACAACATAAGTTTTATGCAATTAGAATGTGTGTTTCAAGTGTGTGTCCGTAATGTGTTATGTAAGTCACGTGCCGTGTATCGTGTGATCAATCTGCTCCGTCTGTTTGTTTCAAGGCCAACTGTGAATAATAACTTAGTAAAGTTATGTTCAAACCGTATCTACTTTCTGTGTGATAAAACAAGATCTATTTTCCGAAATGATATGTTCTGTACAATGAATGATTGTTCAATTTTTGATATGTATTCGTGACATCCTTAGCATCATGTGATATCTGTTAGCTGTTACCCGGTATCGGAGGTTCCTTTATGGAACTTATTTCTGTCTACACTCTGTTACCCGTACCGGAGGCCCGGTCACGGGGGCTTAGCTTCTGTTCTGTTGCCCGGATCCGGAGGTTCCTTTGTGGAACTGGTTATACGTAACCTCACGTGTGTACGTTCTGTTCTGTTCTGTTATGTTCTGTTCTGTTAATGCTAATGAATGTATCACGTAAACTTAATCATGACTTATGATTTCTGTCGGTATATGATCTGGATAAACTATGATTTTGATATGAAACTGAATTATGATTTCTGAATCTGTACGAACTCATTCATTGAAACCCTTTACTCTATTATTATTCACTGGGCTTTCGCTCACAGTTATATTATGTATGTAGGTGAGCCGGCACATGACCAGGGCTAGAGTTGACGGCCTTCTGTTTTGTTTTTGTCAGCCAACTGTTGTGCCTCTCGAGGAGGTTCCGAACGAAGCCTAAAGCCATGGCTGTCTTTGTATTCATGCTAGTCCTTGTGTATGCTCTGTAAATTCAGGTCTTGGGAAGTACATTCTGTAAATACCTTGTAAATATTGTGTATCTGGACTGGCATGTTTATGTATATATAAATAAGTTTTGAAATGTTCTGTCCCATGCACGTTATCACAGCTCATTAGACCTTTTCTATTTTGTATTATTGCTTCCGCAGTCCCTTATTAATTGCTAATCTGTTCAGAGGCCTTTGGTAATCCACGGATTACTGGCCGGTTACGGTGCTAAACCTACAGGGGCGGGTTTGGGTTGTGACAAGCTTTTTGATCCTTAATAACTCTCTTAATAACTCCCTTAGTTGGAGAAAAAAAATATTCGAAAGTTGAAAACCGAAACTACATATTTTGTTCGAAAGTTGAAAACCGAAACACAAACTTAATTTCAGAAGTTGAGTGTTGTCCAAATTTAAAATTTTCAAGAGTTGACTATCGAAACAATGAAATTTTTTTGGAAATCTACTGTTGAAATTAATGATTATTTTCAGATTTCTACGTCCGAACAAATTGTTATCTTTCAGAAAACCAATTCCGAACAACTTGTTCGTTTTGAAAATGGGTTAATACAAAACTCTACATTACAAATGAAAAAATAATCATTAATTTCAACAGAACATGGGGTATGCTAGCCGTTGGGAGCTATTTGGCAAATGAAAAAAATTAAAAATTGGTGAAAAAAGTTACCCCAACTGTGTGAAACAGGGAGCTATTTGCACCATTGGGAGAGCAATGTGAGAGATGCAGCTTCAATGGGTGCGCACCGTCGGGAGAGCTGGATTTGAGGGTCTGTGGGGTGTGTGTGTGTGTGTGTGTGTGTGTAAGGGTAGATGTGGAATGAAATGTGTGTGTAGTGAGTAAAATAATTAGGAATTAATTTTTTTAGTGTGTGTAGTGAGAAAGATGTGCAAAGAGGGGATTTGGTGTGTGTAAATAGAAGCTCCCCTCAAGTACAAACTAGTGATCTTTTTTATAGAGGGTAAATTACAAATATACCCTATGGCTCTGTTTGTTTTCAGAGGTAGAATAGAGGGAATTTATAATGAGGGGATTAATAGTGAGGGGATTGATAGTGAGAGGATTAAGTAAAATTGTGTTTGTTTTGATGATAGTTGTTAGTGTAAGAATTGTTAAATTATTTTTATATAAAATAATAAAACAAATAAAAAAATATTAAAAATTAAACATTAATGTTTAAAAAAAAAATCCCAATATGTAAAAAATAAAAAAAAAATTATAATCCCCTCACTATTTTTCTAATACCACCTCTACCTCCTCCATCCTAATCCCCCTCTCAACCTCCATCTTAATCCCCTCTTCCATCATGATCTCTTCTCCAACTCTACAAACAAACACAACACCAAAACAAACGAAGCCTTTGAGTTTTATTTAAATTATAAATATTTTATGTGAGTATAAAAATTACATTATGCCTCTTAATGTTTCTAATTTCATAACAAATAAGTCCTTTTATTAATAAATCATTAAGTTAATTAACAATTTTTAATAATATTAAAATTTTATTTCAATTTTTCGATAATTTTATTATTGTATAAGTGAACAGTTAAAAATTTTACTTTTTCAATTAATTCTGTTAAATTAAAAATTTTGACATGGAGATATTTATAATTTTCCAAACTACAAGAGGCGATTTGTATTTCAAACAAACCTCAAGGATGTATTTATAATTTTCCTTTATAAATATTTTTGTGGTGGTAGCGATGACAAATGTTACAATTACATTTTTTAAATTATAATCAAAAAAATAATTATAATTAAATATCATATAAAGTATAAATAAAAATATTTTTTATTATAATTAAAATAATATCATAACTAACATTACAAGGAGTCCTAATTATACAATAATTAACATTATAATAAAACATAACTAATATTACAATAAAACATAATTA